CGCCTAGAAACTCTTGAAGCGGAAAATGACGAGGTGAGGCGGGAGAATGAGCTGCTGCGCGAGCTCAACTCACTGCTCAGCGGACGAAATGGGCCTCCGCTGACCATCAGTAGCCATCGTGTAGAAAGTAATCGGCTGCCTTTCACGTATCGAGTTGAGGGAGTTGGTGGTGGTGGTGGCAGTGTCGCTTCATCATCCTCCTCCACCTCCTCATCTTCATCATACGCAAACGGAAATCGCTACACCAAAAAGGAAAAACCACTACCACCAATTCACCACCATCACCATCATCACCTNTTGTGCCCACAACCTGCCCAGTCAGCTGCGATTCACCCGTTTTGTCGACCAGATTGACGATCGCCTAGAAACTCTTGAAGCGGAAAATGAGGAGGTGAAGCGGGAGAATGAGCTTCTGCGGGAGCTCAATTCACTGCTCAGCGGACGAAATGGGCCTCCGATGACCATCAGTAGCCATCGTGGGGAAAGTAATCGGCTGCCTTTCACGTATCGAGTTGAGGGAGTTGGTGGTGATGGTGGTGGCAGTGTCGCTTCATCATCCTCCTCCACCTCCTCATCGTCATCATACGCAAACGGGAACGGCTACACCAAAAAGGAAAAACCACTATCACCATTTCATCACCCAAACCTTCATCACCCCCACCAGGACCACCAGGACAACTATCACCATCACCTTCCAACTCTACTCCACGACGACACTGAGAGTGAAGTAGAGGAGGCGACCACGGCACAACTCAGTGAACACCTCATTACCTTCCTCGGCGAGTGCTCCCAGCGAAACCGAGTTCTCGCCGCAGAGGACGACTCCTTTGGCAACTACCTCCACGACAGTCTCGACCTGCGCGACGGTTGTGGACTTTTCGGCAGCCTTAGCAGTGATCACGGCGGAAGTCGCTCTGATTCGCTGAACAGCAGCAGCCACGGACGAACGACGGACAATGACAGCGGCCTGTGCAGCACCGACCTGATTCAGACCTCGCAAACGGACATGAACTCGCTGATGACGCACGCCTCTTCGGACGGCGAGGACGAAATTGAGGAACTTTTGCGTTCAGTGATTGCGGAAAGTACTGCAGCAGCCAACAACAAAAAGACGACCCGAATCAGGAAGGAACAAGGCAACACTGCAGATCATCACCACCAGGCACTTCACTCCAACAACTTAAACTCCAGCAACACTGCGGAACGTCTCGTGCCGAAGCTGTACAGCAAACTGCTGTACTACCTCGTCCAGCGGAACATGCTGCTGCGGCAGTTTCAGCAGGAGAACCGTGCCCGACAGAAGTGCAAGGAGGAGCTCTCGACGCTGGCCGACTGCGTGGCCGCCGGCCTCAAGGACATTGAGCTGAACACGGCGGTCATCAAGCAGATTCAGCTGCAATCCGATCCGACAACTACTCCGCACTTTTCTACATTTTAGACTTTGGCTAGGTTTTTTGTTTTTTGTACATTACTTTCGCTCACCACTTTTACCACCACCACTTCAGCACCAGCTCACTGTACAATTTAGGATTTTTTTGTACCTGTTCTTTACTTGTCAGTTTTTCTGCATTTTCTGAACTTATCAGCACGTGTTTTTAATGATCATTTGCTCAGGTATGTTTTTGTTTGTAAAAAGATGTAAAAGTTTAAAAAGTTTTTTTCTTGTTTTAAAAATGTCAAACTTTGAGAACTTTCCCTTGTGATCATTTTTACCTGGAAAAACAATATTTTCAGCTGTTATTGCTTCTCTACTTTATGATGACTTCTATTTGCCGAAGATCAATGTTGCTTGCTGTTACTTTTAGAGCCAGAGATTGTTGTTTTAGAGAGGCTGGCGCTGCTCTTGGTGCCTTCTGCTGATTTGGAATTCGCCTTTGAGATTCCGGATGTTTTTGAGCTGCCAGCTGAATGAGCTGCAGAAGTTGCAGAGTGTTCTATTACTTTCCAACTAGGCGCTGAAGATGCTTGCTTTGATTCACCACTTGTTTTGGAAGATTTGCCTGACGCTCCGTGATGTGTTTTGGAAGACGGACCACTAGACAGACTGGTCTTGCTTGACTTGCCTGATTTGCGGCTAGAGGACGGCGCTGAAGATCCGCCATTATTCTTGTGAAGGCTGCTGCGGTCTGATGATTTGCTGCACTTCTTTGAGGAGGAGGAAGATGAGCTCTTGGTTACATTTGGCTTACTGCCACCACCACTGCCACCAATGGTAAACTTGGTGATGCCAAACTCGATCTTTGCCTTCGGTTCATCTTTGACAGTAGTGGACTTTGTATGCGACCCACTTCCACTTCCACTGCTTCCACTGCTGCTGCCGCTGCTTTTAGTAGAACTGCTTTTGTGGGCAGTTTTGCTGTTACTCTTTTTGCTCTTTTCCACCTTGGAGCTGCTTGACTTTGACTTTGGCTTGGACTTTTTCTTCGCTGCCTTTTTAGATGCAGTTTTGGTTAGGCTAGACGAAGAAGTTTTGCTCTTCTTTCCATCTTCCTTCCCATCACCTTCATCACCCTCATCGCCTGGCACCGAGCTGCCGTCCAGGGCGGTCGCCTTTGGCGCATCACCGGTGAAGATGATCTCATTGAAGGAGCGAACGTACGGCAGCGCCCGCTTCTCCTCCGCCGACAGTTTGTTTACATCTCGGCGATGCGTCATGATGAGAATCGTCCCCAGACCGGCGCTCTTCNGAGCTGCTTGACTTTGACTTTGGCTTGGACTTTTTCTTCGCTGCCTTTTTGGATGCAGTTTTGGTTAGGCTAGACGAAGGAGTTTTGCTCTTCTTTCCATTTTTTCCTTTTTCTTCCTCATCACCCTCGTCGCCTGGCACCGAGCTGCCGTCCAGAGTGGTCGCCTTTGGCGCATCCCCGGTGAAGATGATCTCATTGAAGGAACGAACGTACGGCAGCGCCCGCTTCTCCTCCACCGACAGTTTGTTTACATCTCGGCGATGCGTCATGATGAGAATCGTCCCCAGACCGGCGCTCTTCGCGGCCATCGCCTCCTGGGGACAGTGCGTCAGGAAGAGAACATCCTCTGGGTGGTGTTTAATTTTGCCGACAATCTTTTTAAAGGTGGCTAGATCAGTGAGTTGGCCCTCCTCAGTGTCAAAGTGATCGGCTATGAGGAGGTTCATGTCGCCCTGGTTCGTTCTGGCCAGGTACCGCTTGGTGGCCTCCTTCCAGCCGTTGCTGAAGAGGTACAGCTTCACCTTGTCCTCCGCCGCCCAGTGGTGCATCTGAATGGCCACGTCGGTGTAGAGGGGCGTCTCCAGGCGGCCGCGGGCGTAGCCGTCGAAGAGGACGTGAAAGCGAAGGAGGGTCATGCCCTCGTTGTCCTTCTTCTGCTCCAAGCAGTGGTCGATGTAGAGGACGGCGGTCGCTTGAACTGCTTCGGCCCCCTCTTCAGGCGGGGCGATTTTGGGCGCCGATTTATCAGCTGCGGCGGCCTTTCGCAGCAGTGTGACGTCGTTCTGCACTACCTCATTGTCCCAATTTTCCACCAGGTACTGCTTGGCATTCTGCTTGATGTACGGAAAAAGGACCTGGTCGATGAAGAAGGACTTGGTGGCGGTGGCTACCAGGTCGAAGAGCACTGCCGCCGGTTTGCGCACTTTCAGCGGAGCCAGAATTTTGATGAAAGTGAGATTTTTCAAAGAAAGTTATGATCGATGAGCGAGATTTGTTAGGTTGTGTGTTGTTTTCGGCGCGGTAACACGGGTAACACAACAAATCGAACAAAAATTGATTTTTGTGTCTAAAGTGACGCGTTGTAAAAAAACTGTTAACAGAAAACGATAACTTGGTATTGTATTATGAGGAGGAGAATTCGCACAACAAGGAGAGGAAAAACAACAAAGAGAGGTGGTGGTGATATATACCAGGTGGATGGATAACAGGATATCAGTGGTAGCTCTGTAGAAGATGATCTGAAGTGCTCATGTGGTGGAGTTCAGCTCCAGCAGGTTGTTGATCGCCCGATCGAGGTTGCCGCGCTCCGCGGTGAGCACCGACTTGACTACCTCCAGCTCAATCTTGGGGAACATCTCCTGCAGCGTCTTGATGTCCTCCTCCTTGATGGGCTGATTCGCCGGTGGTAGTAGCATTGTTGCTGGTTGGGCGCTGCCTGGTAGAAGGGCAGACGCCGGCTCGCCGGACTGGTGGACAATGACCGCCGATGGGTTGACGAAGTGACTGCCGCCGTAGACGTAAGGACCCAGCGGGGCGGGGTAGATGGGAGCCGGTACGTACTGGTTGGTGGCCATGGCCGTGGGCGGCATGCTACCGGCGGTGATCGGCTGTAAAAAAGGTAAACAAAAGATGGGTTCTAAGTCTGGCGCCATGTGATAACAGCAAACCGAACGTACCTTGATGGTGAAGACCATCAGGACGATGCCCTCCTTGTCGTCGCCCTGCTTGCCCGAGAGGACGATCGTCTCCTCGAAGGTGTTCTGCGTGGCGTTCTCCGCAAAGGTCAGGTGCTGGATGGGAATCTGGTAGGTGCCCCAGGCGACCAGGTCGTCAGAGCTGAGCATGCACTCGTCGTAGATCTCCAGCGACAGCGTGTCGATGCCCGTGGGAAGGTAGCTGAGGGATATCATTTCGTGAGTAGAGAGGGCAATTTAGTTTGGCTGCCGTAAAGCTCAAAACCCAAAGCCCTACTTACCACCGAATCGATTCGTTCCACTTTGGATTCTTGCCGCCCTTATGGCTGTGGTGGTAAAATAGAAGTGGTATTGATTAGCGAAAGAGAGTGTAAAACAAAAATCTCCGCAGCCTTACCTCGTCTTAGTCTCAAAGATGGTGTGCCCGAGGCGGATGCGCATGTAGGGGTTCATGTTGACGAGGCCGTAGTTCTTCACCAGGCGGGCCTCGACGACGGTGATCACCAGCTGGGCCTGGTACTGGGAGGCCCACTGGGCGCGCCGCTGCGCCTGGTGGTCGTACTGCTGCTGCAGCGAGGCGGCCAGCTGCTGGTCGATTTCGATTTGGCTCGCTGGTGGACGGTGTTGCTGGGGCTGGTGGTGCTGCTGCTGCTGGTGGCCAGCATTTCCTGATGGGGCTTGACCAGGAGCTTGGCCGTCAATGCGGAGAAAGTCCTCGGGAAGCTGGCCGACGAGAATCGGCTGTCCGTGGAATGTTCGCAGATTACCCGCTGACGATGGAGGTGGTGGAGGTGGTGTTTGTTGGGCCATCGTTGCACTTGCAGTGGATGTTGTCGCTTTAGACAGGCGCTCTTTTGGTACTGTACTCATGATACTGCTTCTGTTGCCAGAGAAAAATAGAGATCTAGATAATAACCAACAATCACTCAAGTGTGTGCATATGTCTTCACAGGACAAACTGCCACTCGACACACAGTGGTGCTACGGCGGAACTGAGAGCGAGAGATAGAGAAGAAAGCTGGCTCGATTGCAGTGGAGCTGCTGGTGGTGATGATTCAGAGGAGGTAAACAAACGACTGGCCAGTCTCTTTTGCTGCCACTGCTACTGCNGATTCAGAGGAGGTAAACAAACGACTGGCCAGTCTCTTTTGCTGCCACTGTGTTTGCAGCAGTTTGCTGCTTTTGCTCTCGCACTGGCAGCGCCCGAGCGACGGCGTAGGAGTCTGCTCCAGAGCTCTATTCTGGCTGCACTGTACAGCTACCTACGGCAGCCATTGTACAGCAAACACACAAGGAAAGCCGTACCGGAAAGACCAGCACACCAACCTGACAATGGGAGATTGTACCACTATATTGGCTACCTCTCTTTCTAGTAAAATCCATATCCTAAGGATATTGACTTTCACTACTGCAATCAGAGTTTTTGAAATTCCACAATTTTTAGTTTAAGCTGGCAATTTTGTCATGCCTCCTTGCAGATGCAATTGTCGTTACTTGTTTCAGAATCTTTATTTTTGAAAGTATCTTTGAAATAATCACGACTATAATTTACAAGCTAGAAGTGGTGTGGTATGTGGCCGGAATCGAGAAGCGGTACGTCAAAGAATCTTCAGATGGAGTGCACCCCACCCGACCATTCTCTGCTGCACGTGCTGCTCGCGGCCTGGAAGAACTGGCTCTAACGGGGAGGAAGCTTCCTGAGCTCAGTGCTTGGCCGGTCGCTTCCGGCCGACGTCGTACATGATGAACATCGGCGGTCCGAAGATGCCCACGAGGAAGCCCAGGTAGACGGTGACCTTCTCGGCGAGGCCGATCGGTCCGTGGCCCGGAGGGCGGGCGGCCATGTAGCGCAGGTAGTGCGGGTAGAGCGTTCGGCGGGTCTGCACGCTCACATTCTGGTTGGCCACCAGCCGGGCGAGGGCCTGCGAGACGCGGGGAGCGATCATGGCTGACGACGAGTGACGACGACGACGAGGATGTTTTCAGAAAAATGGGTGGACAAAGAATCGGCTAGGACCGCGGAAGATCCGAAGAAGTTACGCGACGAGGTAAACACAACAACAAAACACAGTCCGCTGCGTGCAAAGTTGATCTAACCTTGCCAGCAGAAAAAGCTCAACTCGGTCGGACAGACAGTCTGGCCGTTCGCAGAAGACGTACTA